AAAAAACCTTTTTGTCTGTAAATATCAAATTCCAAAATAATCTTACGGATTTTAATTTTGGCATAACGGTACATAACTTAAGTTTACTGAAAAAACACTTGCCATAGTGATAAGGAGTTAAAACTTTTAGTTTCAAATTGAAGGCTGTATGTTCGAAATATTATTTTTAAGTGTTTTTTTTTTATATTTTGCACAACATAATTACTATGGCTTTATGCATGCGATTCATCCCAAATTGAAATTATGAAAATGTTCATATGCATCAAAGTTATGTTTTTGGGTTTTTTTTATTAAATCAGTCTCAGGTCAATATTGACAAACAATACCCTTTGTGGAAATTTTGTTGCCCGATCTGGTAAAAAGAATCATTTATCCGCGCCAGTCTCCAAATAAGGACCTTAAGTATTTGTACATGCAATGTAGTAAAATGGTCATTTATTTATGAACAACATTGTTGTGACTAGTGGTATAGTCCGTTTAATGTTAGAATCGGCATGTGCAGGTTCGTTGTTATAAATAGAAGAAACATACCTTAAGTTCCTCTGACTGTATAGTTTCGCGGTCGACAGATGCTTTTACAGTAATCAACCCAGTACTTTCATCCACAGCAAAGTATACGCTCGTGTTGTTCATCTTATATCTAAATTTCGCGTTTACACCCTGGAGAATATTATTTAAATAAAAATTAAAACATCCATAAACTTATAAAGCACATTACGATTCAGAATGTTTTTTCTTCTTTTTTATATTAAGGTGCATTATGTGTTTAAAACATTGTAATAACGGATTAAAGCATCATCGGTAAAAAAAAATAAAATAATGTGTCACAAAGGAAGAAAAAGGTAACAGCGGTATTTCGATTTCTGTACAAAATATCAAATCAATATCATTAAATCAATCAATATAATCAGTATAAAAGGACACAAAAAATGAAAGCGTTTCAAAAAGTAATGTTTAGGCTTCCTGTGCCTTTAAAGATATAGTATGCTCATTTTTATATAAAAAACAACACTTCTAGTGCAGAAATTATTAAAATATAGGAAATTCTTACTGAACATGTCTCACTTGAATAAGTGAACGCATAAACTATGTTTGGAAATCTCTATTTCTTTTACCTGGTAAGTTTATTGGGTCTTTTTTTTAATCTATCATTTTTTTGATGACATTATGTTTGTGTTTGCCTACAGTGTGTTTAGTTTACATTTAAAAAGAAACTGTATGGAAATAACCATTATTTTAATATATGAAATTTGAGCATAATACATCTTTTACAAAGAAAGTAACGATGTGTTTAACGTTACTTTACAAATTGATATTTTCATATGTCAAATGTTTTGGACATTTGATAAATTCAATATTAATTCTATTCAAAGTGTTTTTCTTTCTAAACTTAAGATTAGATATAACAAAAGTAAACGACTGTATCTGGTACAGTAAGAACACTTTGCATGATAGGCAAAGTTCTTCAGCAAAATATGTGATCTGGTTTCTATTTCTATTCATCTTCAAAGAAATAAGATAGGATTGACTGACAAAAAGTTTGCAAAGTTTTATTCTAACACGACCCGCATTTTTCCCTATTGAACATAGAAGAACCGAAAGTGTGTATTATTATGCAATAGAGTCACTGTTTGACGTTCTATATTTAGAGGTGTGACGTAATCATTGTACATGTGACGTAACCACTATGAAATCCGACGCGCTGACAATAAGTACGGAAACAAATCAGGCGCAATTTTGCTTAAATAATATATCCAAATCGGTGATTTTATCGGTGGATAACATCACTGTTTGTCGTTCGGATGCGCAACATTATATCACTCGGGCTACGCCCTCGTGATATAATTCCTCGCATCCGAACTCCAAACAGTGATGTTATTGAGCTATAAAATCACAGTTTGGGATATATTATTTCTTAAAGAAAGTTTGTTGATGTACTTGGCATCGGAGCAGGTACCAAACTCTATGCAAAGGCTAGTTTGAGGTTATTGTTAGGCAGTTGTTAGGTTAATGAATAATAATGATAAATAAACCATGTGTGTTGTTTTCGAACTAGTGTTGCCATTACAACGCATATCATGTTTTATATTTTTTTTTAAAAATATCAGACAGGTAGTACAAACATCATAGTAAACATGATAATATTCACCTGAAAAATCACAGCACACTAATAAGACTTACAATATCCCTATCAGTAGCCGATACTACACACAAGATAGTTCCCACCGGACTATTTTCCATGACTGAAACATTGTGAGTTGTCTTTAACATTTCAGGTTTGTTGTCATCAATGTCGGTGACGTCAACTTTTATACTGGTGTAGTTTGCACGATCTTTATTGTTGGTTTGAAACCCCTATTTATATCAATAAATTGTAAATATTGTTTAACTACAAGTATATAATGAAGTATGGATGGTGTGTCATATAATTAAAGCGAAAGAATCTCGCGAGATCTATGACAAATTAATTTTACCTTACGTAATTGTTAAGTATAAGTTATTTAAACTTTGCATGATTCTTGGATAAGAAAACAGACACATTAAAGCGACAAACATTCGGGGCCCACAGATCCCGTTTTCAAGTTAACTGCCCTTATTTTTTTTTCTTTTTGCTATTTAAGGTCATTTCAAGGAAAAATAACTTAATATACGTAAATCAGACAGATTTAATTTGAACAAGTTGTGTATGTTATCATTTTATTCGTGGTAACAATTACATAGTTCACGGAATTCAATTCAACATAAATGTTTTCTTTCTGGCGCATGAAAATTCTTCTTTGGTCATTTTATTAGAAAATTGGCATAGATGTTGATTCAACAAACAAAATCTCAACTCAAATTATTGCAGTATTGATTGAAATCTTTTGAAAAGCAGTTAGCTACACGGGAAAGCAGATATAACAAGGTCTTGCTTATCTTGATTCTAAAATTGCTGCCCTTAGAATAAGTAAAATGCTAGTATTCAAGGGCAGTTGATTCGATAAAGAGGCGGGTGACTCCAAATATTCTTTCGCATAAAAGTTACGTGTTATCATATTTCCTGCATTTACTTTTGGCGCAGATTGATATATCATTTCATGATATAAAATCGAAACATGGTGATCAGAAATATTTTAAATATCATTACCTTTACAGTTATATAATAAGCATTCACTTTCTCCCTATCTAGTTTCTTTAAGAGTTGCAGAGACCCTTCGCTCGTAACATCAAAAATAATATCCTTGTCAGATGGTGTCACTGCAAAAAGCATTCAAAGGTAAACTAATTTTATTCATTTTAACGTTAAATGCTTTTACAGCTTTCAAATATCTATGAATTTAACTTAATAAGTTAAAAATAGACGTGGTTGCCTGATGTTGTCGTTTACCGATAATATATTGTAATTATCTGTATTATGATCATTTGTGTTTGTTATAATAGAATTGTAAATAAAATATGTTTACCCGAAAATAGTTCGTAGTTTATCTGCTGATTTATACCCGTATCCAGATCCTTTGCCCTTACTTTGCATTCAGTCGTCACATTTGGCAATGTCTGCAATATGGACATTACAGAGTCGTTAGATAACCGCAGTTGCATTATTTCTTAAATCATACTTCAAAACATTATGTTATATTAAAAATCAATTTAATTCCAATGCGCGATGATATTTTAACTGGAAAATATGCACTAAAAATTGTTACGTTTACTTCTATTATATTGTCTAGAATGAAAGGTAATACGTACACCTTCAGATATGCTACAATTATAAACAGTTTGTTCAAATTCAATTCCTTGATCATCCGCGTCTCCAATCTTAATATTTATAGTAAGCGCTATGGAGCCTTTAATCTTCACATAACTTGTTAAGTTCTTTGGTGGGTGTTCATAGTCAAGAGTCATAGACTTTTTTAATTTGATATATTTTGTATCATTTCTAGTGCCCTCGTCAAGAACTCCTCCAGAAAAGTTTACCTAGATAAATAACAGATTCAAGACAAAAAGTATAATGGCGTTTGATAAATATTCAATTTTGATTGACTGATAATTAAGATGAAAGGTGATTGTACATAAAAGTAACATAATGCACTATAAACAAGACAAACATCGATATACAGCATTAAATAAGCGCAGAAAGTTTAAAAGATATAGAGGATATTTGTTTGTTTCAGTGTAAGATCGAAAAATATTTCACCAAGTGAACACCAGATGCAATATTTTCCACGAGTGGCGTAGCCACGAGTGAAAATATAATAGCTGGGGTTCACGAGTGAAATATTATTTGATCTTACATGTAAAACAAACAAATTTTCTGTTTATTTCATGATTTTTTAACGATTTTTACACCATTTTACTGATTTTTGCCGCGTAACGTCATGCTCTTATCTTCATGACGTCATCAAATAATGAGGTCACAATGTTGAAGCAAAATATTATTCCATGATTATTTTTAGATTTTAGATGTTTTTCAGCACAACGTTCGTAAATATTTACGAACTACAGTTATCACGTACATTTTTTATTATGATTGACTACATTTCCGCTGAAAAAAAACATTCATTAATGATAAATATTTTATTTTTATGCCAAATATAGTTCGGCTACTGTGAAATTATATTTGGTAATCATTACTGTGAAATTATCAGAATATAATTAACCGTTATAATTCAGTAATCTATTGCAAAACATGTAATAAATCTCGTTATTTTCATTCTTGAACAATTAGTGTCATTAATTAAACTATTTTGAAGTAATTAGTTTTGTAATTAGTGTATCATGTCTTCTTATACAATATTAACAGCTCGATCACAATCAGCATTGACATGCGGTCGAAACACACTACTTTGTGATATTTATGTCAAGAATCTTACTCAATACATGTGCACAAGAACGATTATTTTGAAGTGTCATGTCTTGAATTTAACATTTTTTTCTGTTCGTCAGGAATAAATATAATGGAAATTATACTTTCAACATAAACAGTGATTATTGAAATAGTTAAATAGATATTCTAAATTACGTTTCGGAATGAAAATTACAATTGTGAAAAGGCTCTCCTACCTGCGTGTTGGCATACGGATTGTTAGCATGTAGCTGATCATCACAAATTTTAAAGTCTAATAAGGCATCTTGGTCTGTTTTGTACTAATAAAAATATATGGAATGACATTAAAAAAGTTAATTTAATATTCACAAACAATAATATATTGAAATTGGCTGAGGGTAGCAACAGAAGGTCATATACATGTACATTTATAACTAACGATACTGATGTTTTTATTGTCTTTTAAGACATTTTTCTTCATGCATATACTAAATTCAAGATTTTATAATATACTTGTATGTAGTCTATTTATTTCAAATATCTGAAACCTTCAATCGTTCCATTAACAATATATATGAAGTTATGTAAAATACAGGGTTTAAGTTCCACCAATCAATTAATCAAGCAGAAAAGCATTGTTTTTATTACCCCTAATATTTTTGCCCTCGTATTACCCCATTCGTCAGGCATTCTGAATGGATAAATGTCATAGAATCGCCTTCTCTAGATTTTCTGAGTATTATTTATCATAAGGACATGAGGATCGTTAAATGCCACAAAATTTACGAAATATTTTAAGTTGTCCCCTTATCATGTAACACGTAAAGAACCATTTTGAACCATATACGTTAAATTGTGATAAAACACAGCATGAAAGTAAAAGTACTCAAAATCTAAGTTCGTAATTTGAGTTACACCCATTTGTAAATGTGTAGTAAACATTTTAAAACTGTTGGTCTGTATCCAAAAATGAATTAAATCTACTTGTATTATGTTCATAAGTTTTTTAATAGACTTGTTAAAAAACGATTTATATCTCAGTACAGAGAAATACAGAAAAATTACGTGCTACATATACACTATTTTACTACATAATCATTTATTTCAAAATGTAAGCTTTGTTGCATATATTTGTAATATTATAGATTTTACGATCTTAGTAGTGATTCCTTGAAACATGAAGCTCATATTAAGCATTGATAATTAAATCAGAATGTAAATTTCGTTCATTCCTTCCATGAATTTTTTTACTATGTGCATATAAGTTGATTGCTACCCTACAATTCAATGCTAAATTGTAAAATATATAGTAACATACTTTACATGAATGATTAAATAGTTGTATATAAAATTGTTATGATATTTTTAATTCATTACCTCCCTAAATGATCTACTTTACTATAAGAATAATCAATGGGGATATTAATCTTGAAAATTGAACACTGTAAGATATATGGGTTCTTAAATTAACCTGATATGTACTAACTACGCAGTTGGTAGGCAATATATCTATAAATACATGATTAATATGCTAAAATTGTAAACAGTATAACAATCGAACACATCAGTGATCATAGAATATATGCACAAATATCGAACTTCATAAACTGAGGGTACCTGTTATGTTCTGTTTTTTTTGGGTGTGTTTTTCGATATTTTATATGCAAGAGTTACTTTACGGGATCATGAACGTTATAAATTGTCTCGTCAAGTTGGACAAATCAATAACTCTGTAAATTCTTGTTTAAAAAAATCAGTAAGTTCTTATGTAAAATAAACAGTTTACAGATCTAAACTCAGTGAAAAATGATTTGTGGGATGGAGTTTGATTTGAACAGAACTTAAAAACTTAGAAAGTTAAAGAACTATCCTGTACATTTTATTTTAGAACTGGATTGCACAGACATCTCCTTGGACTACGCGAGTTCATGGAAAGTAAACTTTGAAAGGAATTATGGCAAAATATAAAGTTAAAATGACGTTCTCATGTTCACTAACTATATACTCTTTGATGGGCAAAATATCACTTTAAACTTTAAGTCACAGGTCCTTTGTGTGGCTCTGTTTTGCATTTGGAACAGTCCATTGGTATTGTAATGGGTTATTGTGGTAATTATATAATTATTGAGCTACTAAAAGTATACAACATGGTCACACTACACTGATGTTCAATATAACACCGCAAAACGTCCGTACCGCAAAACGTACGCGTGTGGACGTTTTGCGTCGCATATCGTACAAATGTGGACGTTTTGCGGTGCATATCGTACTTGGTACGTTTTGCGGCGAGAGTGTGTCTTTGCGTCGCATATCGTCCATATTTTCTGTACTAAAATATATTCATTATAAACGTTACTTTTATTGGTTCTGTCACTTTCATATTGTTTCAGGTAAAGATATGACGAAATAAACATCAAAGTCCATTTTTTTTGTGATCCTAAATAATTCTGACTTTTTTATTTAAAAAAAAGAAATGCACATGTATGCTTAAGCCGAGGATGTTTTTCGAATAGATTTTTTATGTAATGGAACCAAGCAGCAACAGCAGCAGAGATATAAAAACGATGATATTGAAATAAATGCTATCTTATAGACATACAGAAAAGGACGGCTTTACGGACGGTCGAACCGGGGATTGGACTGAGTGAATGACAAAAAATATTAAAATTAAGCTTTGCTTTTGAAAATAACTTACATATACAATATGTAATTGCATCAAGAAGTGGAAATGATTTTTTGTGTTCTTGTTGACTGTGGAAGTTTGGTTCTACCGTTCATTTTTACGGGGGATGGATAGGGGCTTTTGACAGCGCGAGAGGGCTATATTGTCATGGAGATTGGGCCTTTAAGTCGCCTAGTCATAATTGAGCAAGAGAGCTTTTGTCGCGGGGGGGGGGGCAGGTGGGGATGGGGTGCATTTACACGGGGGAGGAAGTGTTACACGAAGGATGGAGTTCTTATGATAACTTGTTTGGAGTTCTTATGATAACTGTCACGGAGTTCCTGGAAAACGTTACGGATTTCTGTGGAAAACTTTTCTATATACTTGGAGAACTCGCGTAAAAAATGGTTATTTTTCACTTTAAATGGGGAGTTTGAGGTGCTAAATTAAACTTTGATAATTAAGCTTGCCCCACATATTGTATTTTGTTTCAGAAAAAATCTTTTAGTCCATATTTTGTCGCCTTTTTAAAAAAAATCTGGTAGTTTTGAGAAAAATTACCAAATTACTTGCTAATTCGTACATATTGACCTTTTCATTTGTGATCTTCTTCGTTGCTATTAATTACCTAATTATTATGGAGAGATGCAAACATAAAGCCCGGGCTAATAAATTTATACCCGACTTTTCAAATGTTACGGAGTTCTTGCGATAACTCAAAATATGTCCTTGAGTTCTTATGATAACTTTTGTTACTGCCAGTGTGTTTTGTGCTTAATCACGGCACGTTTATTTTATTAGTCAATAAGTGTGTAAATCATTATGAAGCATAGTACGCTTATCATTTGCAAAATAATTTGGTTATATAACGTTGGTTTTGATCGTGTTTTTCAGTTCAAGAGATATTTTTCTTACCTCCGTTTCTTGTGTTTTTGGCTTGCAGCCACGGCTGCAAGCCATTTCACCTGGAAAACTTGTTCCGGTTAGGTGGTTTCCTGCTTACATCTGTTGGTGCATGATTGAACGGGAAACCAGCTGCAATCGTGCCAATCGCAACTTTACGGCCTGTTCCGTCAGTCTTCGGATTAATGATAATAGCCGATGTAGTTCCGATTGCAATCGTGCCAATTCGGGCGATTCCGTCATACTGCGGAGTAATATTACGGAAATCTAAGCTATTTTAGTTACTTCGGTAATCCCAGTTTGTGTATATAAATAGGATTTCTATTTTTACTTGATTTATCGGTATAAACGAAATTGTTCCGTTTCATTTGTTTTTCAAGACGCAAAAGTTAGTTTCTTTTATAATTGTTTTTTTGTCTGTATTAGTTTTATACAATAGAGAATGGTGACTGTAGTATTATTCCGTCTTCAAAGGGTGGTCCTGCTTACCAAATAACGCATGATTAAGTTATATTTAGATCTACTGAACGCAATTCAACTTCTTGGTGAGGTAATCTAAAAATAGCCCATGCATATCATTAACCTTGCCACGTGCTGATCTATGTATCATAGTTGATACATGCTTATTAATTGGTACCACGTAACGAAGTATTTTAGTGCATTTACTTGTCTATAAAGCAAAGGAATGATTTCGCTGCGAAAAAGGGGAAATGAGATGTGCACACTTGTTTTCCTTCAGTATCACGTTTATATTTTTACGATTGATCATTTTCTTTATTAGTTTTATACAATAGAGAATAGATCTAAATCGTTTTGACAAAAAAATATTCGGTTTTCCAAAAAAACAAAACAAAACAACTAAATAAACCCTTTATGATATACAAATACAGTAATTTAAAAATAAAATGTGATAATAAATTGAAACCCCCCAAAAAATAACAATTTTAAAGGGTTGGGATGAAGGCACAACTGTGCAAGCCTTTCCTTTTAAAAGGAAACTTTATTTTGTGTTTGTTTTGGTCTTTGTGTGTGTGTGTGTTTTTTTATATTTTATTGGAATGACTGTAAACATACTTGATGTAGAGCATTTACTTACAGGATAAAAATACGCTTTGAATTTAATACTCAAGCATGATTTCGTCATATATACATTACTCCTGGCAGTTTTAGAGAACATTAAGTAACTATGCTATCGGTATGCATGTAAATGGTTCTCAGCAAAATAGTAAGTAGTATGCACTACCCTTATCTAAATTTAATGAGGTGGGTGTCGTCTTTATGTATTCAACAGATATTTCAATTTCTAAAAGGTATCAGTTTTTGTCATAGAAACGTATAAAGTTCTATGACAATGATATGACGATAGAAAGTAAGTTTTTAATAAGATATGTGAGTCACCGTAAGGTTCATGCCGTTTATCGACCTTTTTCCTTTCTCTATTAAATCCAATGTAGCATCACGTGACGTACAGCAATTTCCATATTTCGGAAAATTACTGCATACATTTTTCTTATCAAAGTTGGAGTCCTAGTGGAAATTTTGCAACAACTTTTGCTGTAATTGATTACAAAAATATATTGTCGAACTTCTTTCGCTCGAACCCGTAGGACACGTGCAAATCTGTCGAAGAGATCGGTAGTAATCGGTTGATTTTTTATTCATAAAAAGATCATACATTTCGGGTGCATGGGTGTGAAGGATATCCCGGTTATATACGTTACATGGTATATAATGATACAATTTACTTAGCCGCTTCTTGAGGGAAGCCCAACTACTTATTGTCTGCTTTAGAAAGGCGGTTGCTTAAAACAAGTTATCTGAGAAAAAAAGTGTAAGTTTTAAATATTTTTTCCTTGGCGATTTAAGCCATGTTACTGCTGAATACAGGTGACCGCTGATTCAGGTTTTCCTAAGGATTTTTGTTTGTTTGATTCATTTTACGCCTTTTCCCAACAGTATTTCAGTCATATGGGCGGGTTGTTTCCATCGTTCCTGGAGAGTTACACCAGTACTAGACTACCTTCCCCGTGCTTAACTACCAAAGCATCTCCCGGGGATCGAACCAACGCCAGAGAGGTAACAGGATTAGAAGTCATCGACTCAAACCCCTCGACCACGGAGGCGGTCGTTCCTGAAGATGTAGACTGTACACCAAAGCAGTTTCATGTCTTCTCCAGATCATTGATCGTGTTTTAATTTTGCCACATGGCCTCAATGTTGCATTTGCGGAAACTTATGACATAAAACTTTTGTTGACGAACAGTATACACAGAAACATTTAATGCATTCGTTGGGTTTTATAAAGTCAATATGATTTCGCACAAATTTAATTAGTAACTAAAACACGATCAAAACCAACGTTATATAACCAAATTTTTGTGCAAATGATAAGCGTACTATGCTTCATAATGCTTTACACACTTATTGACTAATAAACTACACTTAAACGTGCCGTTATTAAGCACAAGAAACACACTAGCAATAACAAAAGTTATCATAAGAACTCCAGGACATATTTTGAGTTATCACAAGAACTCCGTAACATTTCAAAAATCGGGTATAAATTTATTAGCCCGGGCTTTATGTTTGCAAACTATCTACTATAATTAGGTGATTCTGTATAGCAACGAAAGAAGATCACAAATGAAAGTCAATATGTACGAATTAGCAAGTAATTTGGAAATTTTACTCAAAACTACCAGATTTTTTTTTTTAAACGGCGACGAAATATGGACTAAAATATTTTTTCTGAAACATAATACAATATGTAGGGCAAGCTTAATTAATCAAAGTTTAATTTAGCACCTCAAACTCCCCATTTAAAGTTAAAAATAACCATTTTTTACGCGAGTTCTCCAAGTATATAGAAAAGTTTTCCACAGAAATCCGTAACGTTTTCCAGGAACTCCGTGACAGTTATCATAAGAACTCCAAACAAGTTATCATAAGAACTCCATCCTTCGTGTAACACTTCCTCCCCCGTGATTTAGCTGCCTTGTAATATTTGAGAGAGAGAGCTTTTGTCGAGGGAGGGAGATTTTAGCCGCCTTGTCATATCTGAGTGAGAGAGCTATTGTTGTGATGGGGGGAGGGGCTTTAGCCGCCTTGTCATAAATGTATGAATGACATCTGATCATTGATAACAAAGAAATGGCAGTTTTATCACAATTCAATAATTTGACTTTAAAATATGTCTTTATTTTTATTATTTAAAGGCAAATAACTCTTGACATATTCAGTCGTTTTAGCTTGATCAAGACCGTATTATTATACATATTCTGTATAAAAAATTAAGAATGGAGAAGAAACGAAAGCACTAACAAGGTGAAATATAGTGCGTTTTTTTTCATTGTTGAGATTTTATGGTCATAGATATTCTGTTGAAAATTGTCAAGATTGAAGAAGAAATGAAAGCGTTGGAGTGGTAACAATGTGAAATATAACAGATATTGAAATTCAAGGGCAGATAACTCTGGACATATTGCTTAGGATATGTGGATGCTAGAGTGGTAACAAGCTATATTTGGACGGACAGACAGGCGCATACTCAGGTGAGCTAAAATTAACACACAATAACACCTGATAATAACTGGTCAAAATTAACGAAAATTATATAAACTTTAAAATATGGACGTTATGCGGCAGGACCATGCCTTTTTGCCGCAGAACGTACGTCAGAAAAATGTGGAAGATATGCGCCGCAAAACGTCCATATACTTCGGACACAACCTAAGTAATTGTAAAAATATCAATATATTTACCTCCAGTATAGTCAGGTTGTACGGACTATTAATCTTCGTACAATTTTTGAAACACAAACTTGCATTTACAGATGAGGCTATTTGTAATCTGATAACAATATGATGATCAAACGGTGACTAAAAAGAAGACAAGTGACATTTAGATAGCTAGCAATATTTTCTTTTTATATCAACTCGGGTATAAAATAGTTAACAGCTTCGTAAAGCTACTATTGTTACGCTTTAAAACCCTTTTTCACATCATTTTAGCATGAATTATATTAATATTTATATATGGTCGACCATTTTATTAATAAAATTGTAAACATCAAAATAATTTACAAAACAATACCTCTTTACATTTCCAGTTTAAGTCCATGCCAGTGTCATTTATCTAAATTAGATTAAAGGGATTACTTTATTATCATATTTACCGATAACGGGTTTTATCTAGTAAATTAAAACAACAAACAATAATTTTTATTTTAAATTTAATTTTTAAGGGGCTGTCATTTTATTTTTTCTGGGTAAAAAACCCCTTAATCTGTTGCATTTTATTATACAAAATTTTAAAAGCTTAAACAAAGTTGAATTTTTCCCTTTAAAATTTAAGATATAATTTTATGGAAATAAAAATTTAAATTTTTTTTTTAATTTGTATTTAAAATTAAAACCCAAAAACTTTTTTCAAAAAATGCTTTTTTTATTGATTAAATAATTTTTTTATAACTAAAATTTTTTAATTTTTTTTTTTTTCACTCAATAAAAAAAAGTGAAATTTAATTTGGGTTTATAAAAAATGGGTTTAAAAGTACCAATATTTAAGCAAGGGGGCTGGGTTTTTTTTTGGGGGAGTAAAATCTTCGTAAGATTTTGGGCGGGGGGCCAACTGAAGTTTTTGGTCCCGTTAGCTTTGGGAAAAAGGGGCTGGGGGGTTTTGTTTTTTTGTAAAAATTTGCCCCGGACAGCAAAATTCCCTTTGCACAGTATTTGTTAGCAAAGAAAAAAAATTTTTATTTTGAAATTTTTTTCTAAAAACTTTTTTTGAATATTTGGGATTTTTCCTTTTTAAAAATATTTACAAAAATATGAAAAAATTTTGTTTAAAAATTTTAAATTTAAATTTTTAAAAACACAGAAAAGGGAAACCCCCAGATTAAAAGCTTTTTTATAAAATTTTTAAAAATACTTAAAAAATTGTTTAGAAGATAACAAAACATAATTTTAAAACCCTTTTTCAAAAGACATTTTTTAAAAACATAAATACGAAAAAGGTCAAAATTTTGCAAAAATGGGGTTTTTGGGTTTTGTAACCCGTGAAACTTTTGGGAATAAATTTTAAATAGTCATTTAAAGCAAATAAAAGTGAAAATTAAAATTTCTTTTAATCTTGAAAAGCCCTTTTAATGTTCCCTTAAAAACTAAAAAACATTTTCTCCAAAATTTATTTTTTTTGAAAAAATTTTTGGGACTTTTTAAAAGATAAATATTTATATACCAAAAACTAAAAAACTAAAAAATTAAATTGACATTTATTAAAAATTTTATGGGAAAAACAGAAATTAAAATTTTTTAATTAACATGTTTAATTTGAAATCTGAAAATGCATTTGATTTTAAAAAGAAAAAACGGGCATGATATGGGCCCACAAGGGGGAAAAACACTTAATTGGCAAAGTTCTTTTAAATTGTTGAAAAAGGCATTCAAATTGAATATTTTAATTTTTATACAAAGAAAGGAAGGAAGAAAGGGAAAACAAAAAAAAAATCGTCTTGTATGTAAAGTGACTAAGTTATTAGGGCTACTCCCTTTTGATAATTCTTTTAAAAAAAACCCAAAATAAAAATAAAAAGTCATAGTTAAAAACTTTCATAATGCGTTAATCAATTTAAATATAAAAATGTCCAATTTTTGGCTTTTTTGTGTGTAAAACAATGAAATTTTCAATTTTTCTTGTTTTGAAAAAAGATGTAGTTTTTTATTTTAAAAAAAAACATCCTAGAATGTTTATGCCCACATGTTTTTAAATTGCATCTCAATTCAATATGAAATTTTTAAATTGGGAAATATTTGGGGGCCTTTAATCCTTTCCCGGGAACGGCAAACTTTACCTTCTGGCTAAAATTAATTTATTCCTTAAAATAAATTTTTTTTTAAACCCTAATTTTTTTAAGCTCGATTGCGAAAAATTCCCTTGCAAAATTATATTAATCACTTTTGAGTTTCCTGGAAACCAAAAAAGGGAGGTTTTCCCAAAGGGGGAAAATTTGGGCGTGACTTATATATTTACTTTCAGAATATGCAAGAACAATATTAATCTAGGCTTTTTAAACAAGTAAATACATAAAAATTACAACTGTGATATATATAGTTTTAGTGTCCCTTAAATTGGTTTATTGTAAGCACTACTCCTACTCGTATAAATATAATTCAAAATTATTAACCGCAATGTAACATAAGATAGTTTCTTATTATCTAAATATTTCATTATCTGAATATATACATTTATTTTCTGTATATTGTACATAGATAAAACTAAAATAAACAAATATGATAAATTATCACTCTATTGAAATATGTAGATATCACATGTGCAAACCGACCTGTTAAATAAATAAATCATTCATCGTTTATATATGTGTCATATATATTATATATTAGATAAGTTGTGATGAATAAGAATCAACTTTGTTGATCATGATAAGAAACAATAAAAATATAAAGGGAATAAAAATCTGTGGAAAAGAATATAAAGATATCCCAATATGCGGATGACACTAGTTTGTTTTTAGATGGTACAAAAAATCTCTTTAAGAACACAATGTTAACATTAAAATTTTTATGCTAGAATCTCAGGCCTTAATATTAATGTAGACAAAAACAAAAGTGATCTGGTTTGGATCGGAAAAAAAAACAGTAATGTTATTCTTTTGTCCAGAGTATAATCTGTCATGGAACGGACAAAATTTTTACAAGTTCTAGGTGTTAAATGTACTAACAGATTTATCTGAATTATAGATTTAAAATTTTGACTTAAAAATGAGGAAATCAAGAGATTATTTGGGAACTTGGTCTCAAAGAATCCTTTCTCCAATAGGAAAACTGGTTTTGTAAAATCCCTTGCTCTTGCAAAAATTAAATCATTTTTTTTTTGGGAATTAAAACCCAAAACCACCCTTTTGGAAAAAAATTAAACCCCCAAACCCAAAAATTTATGGGGGAAAAATTTGTAGATTTAAAGTCAAAGACTTTTTATTACCCAAGACCCCAACAAAATTTGGAGGGTTGGGAAAAAGGTAGATTTTAAAAAAAATAAATAATGTCTAAAAGGGAACCCAAAAGGAAGAAAGGGTGTTCCCCAAATTTTTAAAAAACAAAATTTTGTTTTTTTAAAATAGATGTATATGTAATAAGTAAACCATATCTCCCAAATTTTGGGCAGATTTTTAAAAAAAACAAAACTAAAATTTAAAATATTAATCCATTTTTGGAAAAATGTTCTTTTAAACTATTAAAGTTTTATCCTAAATGTAAAACCAAAAAATATAAACCCAAATTTTTTTAGTTTTTATTTATGGCTTAACCCAGGAAAATTTAAAGTTGGAAATTCCAAAAATGTTTTGTATTAATAGATGGATCTCTTAAAGGAGTTTCTGTTTTTTAGGTGATCTTATAAATCAAATGGAGATTTTTACACATATACTGAATTTTTGGAAACTTATAATATAAGGAGCAACTTTTTTGGGAATATAGAGGTATGTTAACAGCTGTAAATGAATTCCCTTGAAGTAAAATAATATGCAGCATTTACTAAAACAACTTAAGCTTCTATACACATATTCCGCAAAACTCTAGCACTAATAAATTGAGGATAAAAAAGGGTGTAATCAAATCTATAAAGCAATACAAGATGCAGGTCATTTTCCTAATTCTTTACAAAAATGGCAAGATGAAAATTAAGAGAGATATCACAAGAACGGCAAGGAATTTTTTGAAAGGAATTCAATATATGATATGAGTTAATAAATTTACTAAAGACCCCAAAAAATAACTTGGTTCCAATTTAGGGATTAATCATAGAATACTAGGAACAAATCACTTGCTGAAAAAAAATGAATCTTACTAATGAAGATGCTTGTACTTTTTGCCAAAGTCAGCCAGAAACTTTGATCCATTTGTTCAATGACTGTGAAATAATTAAACAATTTTGGCGGCAACTTCAGTCTTATATAATGAATAAATGAGCCGTGTCACGACAAAACCAACATAATGGGTTTGCGACCAGCATGGATCCAGACAAACCTGCGCATCCACGCAGTCTGATCAGGATCCATGCTGTTCGCTATCAGTTTCTCCACTTGTTATAAGGTTTGTAAGCGAACAGCATGGATCCTGATCAGACTACGCGGATGCGCAGGCTGGTCTGGATCCATGCTGGTCGCAAACCCATTATGTTGGTTTTGTCGTGACGCGGCTCAAATGTAATCTGAATTTTAATGATTGGACTACTATAGATATATTATTTGGTCATACAAAATTAGATATTGTTATAAATAAGATAATATTATGGGCAAAGCAATTTATATTATATATTATAGTAAAATGAAAAAAATAAGGCCTGGACTGGAAATTTTTAGGTCACAAATAATAGCCAATTATAACATTGAAAAATGTGTTGCAAAACAAACGTTCAGGTATGAAAACTTTGAAAAGTCATGGCAACAATTTAAAAGTCTGGTTCTTCCAGTTGAATTCTAATGGAGAATATTATATCCATGTACTATACTTGAAAGGTTTTTTATGAAATTTCTATTTAACATAACTATATGCAAAGCAAAACAAAAAGAAGAAAAAAACAGTTTTCTGAACTCTCACCCACTACCATTATAATGTGGTCTTCCACCGCCTTATTCACATCCTTTTTGATTCTCATTTTCAATTGTTTTTATTTATCATTTTTCTTTAAGAAGGAAACTCTTGTAGTTTACACCAGAAACCTTTTATATATCTATTTTTTATGAATCAATTCATACATAAAGCTTTCTGTCTACATTTGTATTTATATTCTGATAATTTGTGTATTATTTATGTACATAAATTTGTACACACATTTTGTAATAAGTGTTATAAGTTTAGTCTTTGACTATGAAAAGTGTACAATTCACCTGTCTAGGTTAGACCTGAAGTATTTAAAGCAGTGAAAAATTTTTTTTTTAAGAACTTGCATGATGAAAGAACTTGTTCATATTAACATTTAAAAGTTTTTGTTTTTTTTCTAGCAATTAGGCATTACCATTATATTTCATCTGAAACATAAATATAAGTGGTTTAAGGGAGACAACTTCTAAGCATACTAGAAAGATTGTTTACTTACTCACTAACCACAGGTACTTGAGGCAGAC